TTAATATAACTTCTAATACATTTCAACAACTTCAAATTACATCTATCCAACCTATTACACTTCTTAATACTCTTTTAACGGGTCTTCCACAAACAAGAAGCATTGTTCTGAAGAATTTTTATTCTATTTTTCGAACCTCAGTAATCATAATATTAAGCATATAGTTATGCAATCGGCTCACAATTACATCATAAAGAGATGGTAAATGACCTGTGTCATTTGATCAAAATTTAAATGACCAAGTCATTAAATAATGACCTGTCATTTGGGACATTAAGGTCATTTGAGTCATTTGCGCATATACTTTAAAAGTTTTATGTAATTTCAAATAACTCTTTAAACACTTCCGCATTTCACATTTAAAGAAAAAAATTTTAATCTTCCATAAATGCGAAAGCAAATTAATAAAAAGTTATTCAAATTACATAAAAAGTTTGGAGTATATGCAATTTCTTATTTTGAAGCTTCATTTAAGGCATAAATATTGACTAGCTTAACAAAATTTGACTTTTAAAAGAGTTATGACTATTATGTTTTATCATATAAATTTGGCATTTATCCTGTAACCAATTTTATTAATTAATAAATGTTAGAACACCAAATAGTCAATTGTGAATCGCCACCCAAAAAGGTTCGATCATCACGTGACAAATATATCGATCACCAAAAAGTCATTTTTGAACAAAAAATTGAGACTAAAAAATAACAAGAATAACATCAGGAAGTTAAACCAATCATTATCTAATATGAATTAAATAGTACTATTATTAAATAAGTACTTGCTAATAATATTTTTTATAAACAGTATTACTGTATTATTAAATAAGTACTTGCTAATAATATTTTTTAAATACTTAGTATTCTACAAATATAATTTATGTTTATTAAAAGGATTATTGTGGCAGCTGATGCTGAAATTGGCTGATGCTGAAATTGGGGACCTCTATTTAAATCTACAATACCTACTAAAATTCATTTATACTTTTTTATTAATAAAACTACCCCTAAACCCTAACCTAACCCTAAAAAAAAAAACCCTAACAAAAGGCCCCAAAAAATTTTAAAATTTAATATTAAAATATTTAAAATTTCAGCATCAGCCGATTTCAGCATTAGCTGCCACAATAATTCTAAAAAAAATATCAAAAATGAAGATAAGAATAAAAATAATATTATAGATAAAGAAGGAGGTAGAAATGAAAATAAAAAAAATATCAAAAATAAAGATAAGAATAGAAATGAACATAAGAACAAAAATGAAGTTAAGGGTGAAGCTAAAAATAAGAGTAATAGTAAAACAACTACAATTACTCAGATTAATCAAAAAGTTAAAGAATTTATAAATGAAATTATAAATCTAGATATTAATAAAATAAAAACAGATAAAGAGAATAAGATAAAAACAAAGAAATAAATAAATAAAAATAGACAGACAATAAGCTTACAAATATTGTTTTACTTGTATAATCATATGTATAAAGCAGAAAAAAAAATTTTAAAATCAAAAAAAAAATAATCAAATAATAGTACAAGTATAATAAAAACTTTAAATATAAACTTATAAAAATAATATCTAACAATAGAATTTTTTTAAAAAAAGCAACAACTAAACTTTATGATAAATTAAAAAGATATCAACCAGATGTTAGTTAAGATAATTTAAAAAAACAAACAAAAAAGTATATTTTTTATTTTTACAAATTGAAGTAAAAAAAATTTAATATATTAGCAAATCTAGTATAAATAAGATATTTAAATTTACTTGGAATCAAATACAATTTATTGTAGATTATTTTAATCAATAATAAAATATATATATAATATTTATTATATTTTATATTTTTTTTTTTTTGATAATAAATAAATATATATAAAATGCTTAGCTTTATAATTCTTTTATTTTTTTAAAAAAAATAAATAAAATATATATATATACAATACTTGGCTTTATATATATATATATCTTTCAAAGTATTAATAAAAAATATCAGAAAGATAATTTTACTATAAAAAATATTATAGTTTAGCTCTAAATTAACTCTTAACTAAATAGTTAAAACCATATAAATAGATATAGCTTTAGATATCTCCTATAAAAGTATAAAATATTTAAACATTTAACCAAATAAAGTCATCTGATTTTACAATAATATATACAGTACTTTGTTACTTTATTAGCAGGCTTTTACTATATAATTTGTATTATATTTGTAATTAAACTGATCTAAATATTAATTATTATTAGCAATAAAACTTGAAGATTTGCTAAAATTATTAATAAAAAAGATAAGTATTAATATTACATAAAGCTTCAATTAGTAGATTTTTTAGTATATAGTATATAAATCAAATATAAATACAATATATATATATATAAGAAAAAAATTTTTTTTTTAATATTAAAAGTAAGATCATACTCTTATTTTTATTAAACTTTTTATATAATTGAAAAAGGTTTTGTATTTTAAGTCTAGTATAGCATAGCAGATATTCAATTTATTGGTTTAAAGATCTCTGAGTTGTATAATATTATTATATATATTAGTGGTATATATATTAGTATTTTTTAATTTTCATTAAGTAACTCTGTATAACTTCTAATTGTACAAATCTGATTTCACCAATGGAATCCTTGATATCAATTTCCTTAGCATAGTTTTTACTATTTGTCAATCAGGTTAATAGTTAACGAGTTACTAAAGTTTAAAGATATATAACTATAAAAGATGATGAATAATAATCTGTCATACTTGTGACGCAGGACGGTTGTATATCAGAATCCCGACACA